TGCGCCCCCAGCCCTCCGTCCCCATGCCCCCCGCCCCCCGTCCCCATACCCCCAGCCCTCCGTCCCCATGCCCCCAGCCCTCTGTCCCCATGTGCCCAGCCCTCTGGGACAGACAGCCTCCCCTGAGCCCGCCCTGCTGGGGCTGCAGACAATGGGGGCAGAGCCCCCAGACAGCTCCCCTGGGCCCCGGGGACCCTCCTCCTGGATGGTAAACCTCGGATCGGATGTTCCTAGAGACCCACCTCCTTTCCACTATCGTGTGTGTTTGCTAATCTTCACCGAGGACATTTTTCCATTGATTTTCAGAGCGGGGAAGAGGGAAAGACAGAGACCTCGATGTGCGAGAAACACACCAACTGGCTGCCTCCTGCTCACCCCCAACCAGGGCCGGGGAGGGAGGGGCCTGCACCCGAGGTCCACGCCCTTGACCGGAACTGAACGGGCCCTCGGGTCCGCAGGCCACTCTCCGCGGCTCCTCTCCGCTCCCCTGAGCCTCAGAGGAGCCGACCCTGCAGAGCCGGTGCAGCCCCCTCCTCACAGCACCCCGAGGTCCCGGGCCCTCCCCCGAGGCGCTGCTGGGGGAGGGGGCACCGGCCATGCCTGTGGTGGCTGAGGACGTCGCTCAGGCAGAGAGAAGCCCCTGTGCCCCGCAGGTCAGGCCTTGTCCACCCCTCAGTGATCTGGGGGTCGCGGGTCATACGGTGACCCTTCCTGTGACCTCCACCCTCACCAAGCCTAAGAGGGGTGTGCCAAGCGCCAGGAAGCAGTGACACGTGTCCTACACCCGTGCGGCTCCCCTGACAGGCACATGCACGCTAGCATCAGAGTTCACGTGTGAGTGTGCCTGTGTGTGTGTGAGCGTGTGAGCGTGTGAGTGTGTGAGCATGTGTGTGTGCGTGTGAGTGTGTGTAAGTGTATGTGTGTGAGTGCATGCGTGTGTGAGCATGTGTGTATGTGTATGTGTGTCAATGTGTATGCGTGTGTGTGAATGTGTATGCGTGTGAATGTGTATGCATGTGTGTGTATGCGCACACGTATGTGTGTGTGAGCGTGTGTGTTGTATGAGTGTGTGTGCGCGTATGAGTGTGAGCGTGAGTGTGTGTGTATGCGTATGTGTGTGTGTGTGTGAGTGTGCACACACGCACTCCCAGGGAGCCAGATCGGCAGAAAGGGCAGGGAGTGCCTAGTTCCGGTCAGACTCTCCATGAGGCAGGAAGCGCACACACTTCCCTGCTGGGGTCCCACCCCGGAGGCCTTGCGGGGGTTGGTGGGGGTGCTGCAGAATGGGTTTCTGCACTTGCCGATGGAGGGATCTCAGGAAGTTTTCTTAAAATTTCAGAGCCTTAGTTTACTGATCTGTAAAATGGTCACCATGACAGTGCCTCCTTCACAGTAAAATGGAAAGGAGTTCCTGGACAGTGTTGCATAGGGAGGGCTCAGGACAAGGGCAGGGCTTGGAACAGGGTATGCTGGTGGTCTCCTCATCACCAGGGAAGCTGCTGGGCTCAAATGCCTCCCAAAGTATGTGAGTGAATGTGTAGTGTAGACGGTGCCCAGCCTCCAAAGGGGCGGGAGCTGGTTGAGAGAGGGCTGTTGCCTCAGGTACGCAGGGTCAAGGGCCCGAGACTAGAGGGGAGACCAGACCCTCCTGGAGCCCCCCCTGCTCTGCCCGTGGTGTCAGGCCCAGGGAGGGGAGGGGTACCCACCAGGTGGGACCCATCGCTGGTGGCCAGAGGGAGCCTGGAGCAGGGCAGAGGGTCTGGGTGCGGGGAGAGGGAGGGCCTGGCACTGTCCGCACACCTGCTGCCCCCTCCAGGTGACACCGTCGCCCACGCCTGCAGGGCACATGCTGCCCCCTGGGTCACAGCACCTCTGACCTCCCCAGGCCCAGCTCCCTCGGGAACCGTCCTTCCCACCCGCCTGCGCTGTGAGGCTGGCTTCCAGGCGCCAGGCCTGGGGGCCACGGGGCCCGAAGGACAGGACGCCCGTGGCATCTCCCCTGCATCCCCCAAGCACACCCCTGGGGTGTTGGCGTCGGCATGGGCTGCTGGGCGCTCACCTGCACCAGGTCACCTCTGCCCCCTTCGCCCAACCCTACCCCCACCCACTCCCCTCAAGGTGCTGCGCCAACACGTCTGGCCGCCACCCCGGAAGTTTAGGTAAAGGCAGGCTTTCGAGGGCGCTGAGCTTCAGACCGCGGGGCTCACAGGGGCCCTCAGGTGCTTCCGGACACCGCGGCCTGATCGGAACAGACGGACGGGTCCTGCTCTCTGGGCACCGCCTTCCTGGAGGGTGCAGATGGGAGGGTCCCACCCCCTGACCAGTGGCCTGTCCGCCCTGCACCCGCCCACAGCAGCTCCTCCGCTGCAGCCCCTCCCGCCGCCTGGGAGCCCCGCGCTCCCCTGAACCAGCCGTGACTCAGGGATGAGAATGTGGAACTGTCAGCCGGTGCGTCACCGGAGCTTATGGGAGTTTTTATTTATGTTCATTTTGTTTTTTCTATTGACACAAAATAAAATTAAAACACCCAGTTCTTTTTTATTGATTCATTTGAGAGAGGAAGGGAGAGGGAGAGAGAAACATCTGTGATGAGACTCGTGGATCGGCCGCCTCCTGCAGGCCCCCCACTGGGGATGGAGCCCATAACCGAGCACGTGTCCCCAACGGGGATTGAACCCTGACCTCCGGGTTCGTAGGTTGATGCTGAAACATGGGCCACGCCAGCCGGGCAAACAGTTACCTGGGAGGAGGCCACAGCCCTCCCTTTCCTGCTCCGGGTTCGAGGCCCACAGCTGCTCCCCAGGCCCAGCCCCTCGGGCCGAGGGTGTCTGAGCACAGGATGGGCCCGTGGAGGGGGTCCCCTGCCTCCCCCCACCCTCCTGGCTCCCCCCCAGGCCCTCTCCCCAGACAGCTCCTGCCCGCCCTGTGCTCAGACAGGAATGGCTGACCATGTGCACGTGCACGCACCAGGGCCGTGTGCGGGGTGCTGCCTGCAAGGCCGCCAGCTCACGCACAGTGTGCACCCTCACTGCAGGGGTCTCCTTGCCAAAGGGCCCCGCCCCAGGGCAGGGCCCCCTCCGTCTGAGGTTCTGAGGCTGTAAGGGCTCCAGAAGTCTAAGAAAATTCCCGTTGTGTGTGCTTTACAACTATTAGCAATTTAATCATAGGTAGGGTAGAACCACTTCTTATGAGAGGAGGTGAGGCTGCAAG